GAATTTCACATAGCCTTACTTCCCAAAAGGTATTCTCATCTTGGCAGGAGTGAGCTGTATTTTCAATTTCGCCCGGGTCTCATCAATAACCCCAGCCGGACTCGAACCCTGATAGTGTAGCGTTTGATATCAAGACCTATGCCAGATCGACACTGCAGTCAAATCCTGATTGGACGAGAATACCATTTGGTAATCAAGGCTTATGCATATTTATGTAGGAAAATTCAACTACCAACTTAAACAAAATTGGGTGAATAAAGATCTTATGGAAGGAGTTGGCTTGCATCCGTCATGCCAAAGGACAGATATCGTCGAAAATCTTCAAGTTTTTTCTAAAATATTTTTTCAAGGAAGAGTTGGATTTAGGTAATCTTTTGTCTAACAAGTGCTAAAGAGACCTTAATTTTGTAGGAAATTATATGCTTTAAATATTCGTTGGTTGATCTTACTGTAGGAAGACCATTAATTCAATATTTGCGGTGCCCATTTTCAGGTTGACGCAGTCCACGAGATACCCTCTTTCGTACCGGGTAATTCATGAAGAATACACTCCTCTGATGATATCCGTCATCTGATAAATGAAATATTTGCATGTGAATGCCTACTTATAAATGAAACGAAGTAGTAGCGTGTTTTCAGATTAATCGAATCAGATTTCCTCGAAAATAGCGTTATCAAGAATGCTTGAGTGAAACAAAATAACAACTAGCCGAGAGGGATTGATCTTCAAATCTTCCACCAAATACTTTTATTGGAAGTGGAAGTGAGCTCAACAAATATAGACCAAGGGTTTCTTTGAAAGCCAACTTTTTTTCGCATATATTTAGATTCAACGTGACGCTTCCGTAGGAATGAGATACATTTTTCACCATGTCTGCTCGCCGGCATGACGGACAAAAGCTGAGTCCGCTTGTACACAAGCTGAAGGATGATGTCTCGTGGACTGCATCAATCCTACAACTGCAAACGAATGGGAATCATTTTTTGTATTTTAATAATAATAATAATAATAATAATAATAATAATAATAATAATAATAATAATAATAATAATAATAATAATAGTAATAATAAGGTCAACCCACTTCTACCTAATAATGTCTTCATTCAGCACAAAATAAAGTTCACTCCACCAACAATTGGCACAAGCACATTGCAAATCCGATTTGAGCAGAAAATGTTGGCACCCACCAGTGGAGCTAAGCAACTTACGAGGGTACGATGCAAGGTTCAATTAAATTGGCCCGGCTGTTCTGGTACGAGTACTGCACAGACAAAGTAACCTTATGATAGGTACGTGCAGGGGAAGTGAGGGAGAGAGAGGAGTAGAAGGAGGAGGTGGAGGGTGAGGAGGAAGAAGAAGAGTCCCGGTTTTGCGAGCCTTCTGCAACCGTTTAGGGACTCGAATTGTCGCCTCAAGACTCAGGCTGGCCACTTGTTAGTCTCTTTATCTTCTGAAGTTTGGGTCAGACACGTTGGTGCTGGCCTATTTGCTTATCTGTCAGCCGGCAGACTGCATGTGACCAAGCCCATTCGCCATTCAACTGGTGCCTGGCTGCCTCAGAATCGGACATGTGGCCAAGAGTTTGCGTCAACATTCGCCATTTAGCTATCTCTCTCTACCGTCTTGGTCTCACAGGACCCAGTCGCGTCAGCTCCAGTCCAATCTACAGCCCCAAGCCCAGCTTCTTCTGGACTGTCTACCTGATTGTGATGACCATGATAATTGTGAGGAGAATAGCAGTCAAGTCTGTCAGTTTTCGTAACTCTGAAGCTAGCACCGAGAGACCTCGAATTTTGACTCAACTTCTCCCTCTCGCCACATCTTTTCGCCTTAGCTGCCTCTGCTCTGTCGGCCTGTCTACAACTTCCTCCATGCCACACCGGCCCTACCCGACCATACCCGGTGTGCTAGCCCACCCCCAAATTGCCCTCAGTCCGCCAGGACCAAGTAGATCTGCCAACTATTGTTATATTTAATGACGAGAGTTAAATGGACAGGAAGATACCTTGCTTGTTATTCTGCAAGCCTGCCCCGTTATGCCTGTGCTGTCTGCCACTGGGGTTCATAACCCCCAGGTCTTCCGACGACCTCCAATCTTCGGACGAGTTCTCATACCAACTGCACAGTCTCATGTCCACAGTCTACATACATCTTGTGTTCCACCCTCTCTACTACAACTCGTCATCTGCGTCGTATTTCTCACCAGCTTGCTATGCCTTCAGAGCGCCCACCCTCAAAATGGCCAATCCTTATTTCTCTTACACAGGGTATACTTACTCTGCCTCTTTTCCCCTCTCCTCTCCTCTCCTCTCCTCTCCTCTCCTCTCCTCTCCTCT